TTACACTTAAGACTGTATGAAAATTGTAGTCAATTCTTTTCTGGATGAAAGATCTGAAATTTTGAAGGAAAACTCTGAATAAAATATCCTTCTGTATTAAAAGTCCTTACTCAATAGTCAAGCCAAACATGACACCTAAAAAAACTGTTGCAATTCAGTTCTTCATTCACATATACATTATTACAAGAAATCAAGTCTTTCACTTTGAGTCAGCTACAAATTTTTCTGTCACTGTGTATGAAGAATGTTGTTAGTGCTACTGTCCACAATAACCTACATGTATGATATATGATTCTTGACACTGACATAATGAAATTCTAAGGCAAGAACACTTGGTAGTGTATCTTACATGTCTGCAGCACTGTCAACTTGAGTTCCAAACTGTGAAAGACAAGTAGGCACACTTATTACATTTGGTAAGTAAAGCGCTGTTAATGATTGCTTTTGTACTCATGGTAAAGATAAAAAAGGTAATGGAAGCCCTATAACAGGCAGTGGAGGCCCATGTGCGTATGTGAGGGGTAGGCCATAAAAACCTGACCTGCATTGCGACCTTCAATGATCTATTGTGTTTCCCTTTGGATTAGCCCTTTATTAATCCTACACTTTTAATAAAGTGTAGGACCCTGCTTATTGGGGCATCATAAAAGTCACTTGGTTCCATAACACACTGACCCAAGTGACGAAATCTTAAATATGCTATGGCCTCAATCACACAGGATGTGTGTGGCTAATTCGTTTTCTTGTAGACACCTTTCACAAGTTGGGTTATCTGTCAGTCCCAGCTTGAAAAGGTGTCCTTTAGGCCTTGTAAGATGTTGTCCGCCTTACATGCCCGCCAACCTTTTTTATCCCCCCCTTCACGAAGATTCCTCCTCACTCATTTATGTTAGACCCTGAGTCAACCCCAGGGCCATACCACGGCTGGAAGGATTAGGTTAATTGAAAAATCCAATAACCTATGGGGAATCGAACCCAAGACCTTTCGGCTTGTAGCACAATGTATTCAGCTCACATAACCTCCTATAATATTTTATTGCCATTTCTCATTAAGAGATACACAGGGCTATTATAAATTACTTGGATGATAAATCAGCATATTTTTGAAACAGTTATAGATACAACTTAAAAACAACATACAAACGAGTAAAGTTTATGTAGAGACATTCTATATGTGCTACATTAGTTATCAGCAAACCTCAACTTAACTATTCAACTCTTCCCACATATGCCGCAAATAATTCCACAACACTTTCCATTTCATCTTGCCATCATCAAAGAGTTACTGTAAAGGTTCAAGGCTATATAGCTTAATAAAATCTGTAAGTTTGTGAAGATGATATATTAATACAAATATATTTCTGGACATTATCCACTGTCCTGCTTTTATCAAAAAACACATTTCAGAGACTGGTTTCTGTCTCCATCTTCAGGTAAAACCTACTCAGTTGGGCCTAATTGTTAGACCTACGTCAGAAGACACGGACTGGCTCCACTGATTGGGCCCGAGTAGGTTTTACCTGAAGACAGAGACAATCCACTCTCTAAAACACCGTTTTTTTAAATAAAAACAGGACGATGGCTAATGTCCACTAACATAATATTTGCACTATATGGCTTAAGCTTAACTCTTTCCTCAACACTTTCCATAAGGTAAGATTAAGTATAAGAAGTTGCCTACTGGCTTGTACAGTTGATTTTGGCGGACTTCTCACAAAAGCTTGACAAATGTGAGGTACACTAATTTTAGTCAGCCACTGGCCGACAAACAGCAGTCGCTATAGTTGACTTGCAGACTAAGGCCACAGATAGACTTGAAAGGATTCTGCCGATGGTGTATGCTGTACTTCTTTTGGCTTATTTTGGACTTCATCCATCGTCTAGTACGTAAAAGACAAAAGACCATGACGTTTCGGAGACTGGATCTCTTTCCTTCTTCAGGTGGATAGGGAAGGATAAACCTACTCAGCTGGGCCCATTAGAAAGAGCTAGTCCAGTGATTGAGACTACCTCTTTCTAACAGGCCCAGCTGAGTAGGTTTATCCTTCCCTACTCACCTGAAGAGGGAAACAGATCCAGTCTCCGAAACGCCGTGGTCTTTTGTCTTTTACGTACTAGACAATGGATGAAGTCCAAAATAAGCCAAAAGAAGTAAGGCCACACAGTTCATTACCATGTCGCAATGAAGTGTCAGTGAACTCTCTTTGCGAATCTCATCTTGCAAAACCACAAGCAACATTGTATCTTTTGCACCTGAGATGCCATTTTCCTTTAATAATGATCCAAGCACTACTTGTAGCAGATGTTACAATCAACATTGACAATCAAAACTTAAGGAGTTTTCCTGGCTGTTTTCAAATTTCCATGTTTGTATCTATCACCATTTTAAATACACACTACTTTTTTATTGCCCATTCATTTATAATAGCACTGTATACATATATTGCAAAACTTGGTTCTCACTGTTGGCCGTGATGTAAAAAGTTTGAAAAGCACTGACACACATCACCACCAGTCCTTCAGAAGTAGTCACTCAAGAAATTTTATTATGAAACCCAAAGGTTCATTAACATCTTAACAAAAGCCTGCCTGCAGTCCCCATCCTGAACAATAATTGTCCCCTCTCTCCCATCCCCATTTCAACCCTTCTACGTATTTTCTGAGCGCAATGCAGAACTCAAGAACAACATTTACAATGGGTATTATGATTTTTAGAGCCTTTGCACAGCCAGTGCAGTGGCACTGCCTTTCTCATTATTTTATGTACATTTGTTCTGAATTTCTAAAAGCATGCAAGTCTGATTGATGCTGCCATCTATGCAAGACATACTTACTTGCACTGTCAGTTTTATTTTGAATCTGAAAGCAAGTCTGCCTACAAGTGTCACCTGATATTGGGCTCAAAGAGGTTACGATCATTCTAATATCTTATTCCCTTCAAAGTCCAGTCTTCCAAGAGACTCTTTCCTTCAGACTAAAAGGGAAAGTTAAAGTTGTCCCTGTTAACAGGCTGTGAAGACCCACAGGGGTGTGAAACGTTGAGGCTCCCACATCTTCCAGACAATTGGCTCACAGATGGCGGTAAGGTTCTCAGCCTTACACACCGGGAGCCCTTTACCACCCATGAATATGCTAGAGGCTGAGTCAACCCTGGGGCCACAGTGTGGCTGGAAGGTTATGTAAACTGAAAAATCCAGTGACCTCGTTGGGACTCAAACCCGCGACTGGCTTGTAGCATAGTGCCTCAACCAACTACACTACAGTGTACCCCTCCCTTCAGACTTGGCCACCAAAATGCTGCATGCATTTCTCATACCTCCCACGCACGCTGAGTGCCCTACCCATCTCAATCTCCAATTTGAAAGTCTGGACATAACTTAAACAGTTCCTCATTATGCAACTTTCTCAAACAGCCCACTGCTTCTGTCTGAATATTCTCCGAAGCACCCTGTACTCAAAGCATCAATCATGTTTTTCCTTAATATTAGAGACCAATTCCATGCCTATACAAAACAGTAAGTAAAATTATATTTATGTACATTATAAAGTTCACTTTTACACAGCAGACCAGAAGAGGAAAGATTCTGATGAATAACTGCAAAGCGTCCAGTGATTTAAATCTGCTTCTAATTTGGGAAATTTGAGGTTCTTACAGTGTTGACTAGAGGACTGTGGCACTATGCCTTATGGCAAAGAACATTAGGCTGAAAGACTTTAAGACATATCATGGCGCCATCATGCTTGGGAGAAGCAACGGAGCAAACCACAAATCAGCATACTCTGCCTCCACAACATAGGTATGCATATCTCAGTGATACTTGTTAATTTACAATTTAACCCTGTCAATGGTGAGACAAGAGATCAGCAACATATAATGAACAAATGAAACAGTCCAAATATCACTGATGTATGAAATTTAAGGAATGCATTAAACAAGACAATACATGAACAATGTATTGTCTGATATTAAAATAACTGATAGTTTGTGTTGCAATGTAATAACCAATCACAGAACATGTAAGACATGCTTTACACACAGTCATAGCAAGGTGTATGTACGTAGGTAATCAATAAGTTACAAATGGATATAGAACTTAAACAAATAAGAGTAATGATTTCAAAATCCTTTTATTTCTCAAAATAATCTCCCTGTACATTGAGTACTTGTCCCATCGTTTCACAAGCCCCTGAAAACCAGCAGCATAAAATTCTTTGAGCTGCTGTCAGAACCAGTTGGTGACTGGGATCACGAAGGCAACCTGCTCACCACATTCCAGCCTCAAGGACAAACTGTAAATCCGACCTCTATTGTAACATCCTCAGGAAACTACTTAAGGCCATTCAATGGAAGTGATCACCATACTGCTAACAAGACAAATGAGATGCTGCGAAATTTCAAGTTGGATGTCCTTGAGCATCCTCCATATAGCCCAGACCTTGCTCCAAGCGACTTCCATTTGTTCCGCCCTCTTAAACATCATCTTTCGGCTCAACATTTTCCTGATAATGAAGCTGCAGAAAGGGAAGTCACCGCCTGGTTCCGACCAGCAGTCCAAAGAATTTTTATGCTGCTGGTTTTCAGGGGTTTATGAAACGATGTTGAGAAATAAAAGCATTTTTCAAATCAGTCCCCTTATTTGTTTAAGTTATATATCAATTTGTAACTTATTTACTGACTTACCCTCGTATGTATGAAGGAATTTAGAGAAGGATTAAGTTATATTAACAAACCATCAGACCACAATCCTTACCTTAGTACAACCCACAAATGAAGATATCTCTGTGATACAAAAATCAATTATTCTATGAACGGAAAAGATTTGTAGGACGAACAATTACATCCTCATTTATAATGCGTGCGCAAATTATGCTCTTATCATAAATGCTCCTGAGTAAAACAGAGTGATCCAACTTACTGCCCTTCAAATCACATAATGAAGGGAATATCTCCTCTCATTGTGCGTACGTAGGATCCTTACTTTAAACTTCACGTGAGTTTGTTCCATGGAAAATGTATTTATTAATATGCTGATTACAATGATGGTTGATGCCGTAAGATTACTACACATATATAATAAATGGAAGACTAAGGGCTACAAATGAAATCTGAGTAAAAAGAATCAAAATTCACAATCAGATAGGGGGGAAAATTTGCGGCATATTACGTAAAACTTGCACTGCTTCACTGTCAGAAGCTAATGAGAAACTTGAATCGTATATTAATTGAAAACACAAGGAAATTATGTTTATAGTCACTCTACAATGACTGCGCAATGCTAACAACACAAACAGCAAAGAACAAGTTAACACGGATTTACTCACATCTTGTTATTAAACTACGTATGATTACACTTCATTGATCACGGACCACTACACACTTATGGTTGTGCACGCCAACCATCAGCTCTTGACTGCCTTTCTCTTGTTCTCAAATTATTCCATCAAGCCAAGTGTCTATGCTAAATTATTATCTAATCGAAAATTAAATGGTGAAGAGTAAAAGTTAAGACATCTCCGCACAAGTGTTTTCCGGGTTTTGTACCGCTGACACCTTCCAAGTGAGCGCCGTCTGCACTTCTTACATCGCTACGCCGAAGAGACGCACACAATCGCTCGCTCATCTAGAATCGACGTGGCGGTGGCATGTCACGATCAAGGGGCGAAGGCGCGAGGTAGCTACGGCACAACAAAGACAACACGCAGAGTTGTTATTTAATAATCGCACGCAACTTTCACATCGCCGTTCAGTGGGCAGCATGTGTGGCTTAAAATGTGCTACTGCCCCTTAAAAAATCACTATAAAGAAAATCAAGAGAGCTTACTAAAGTGACCCATCTCCTGTAATAACATCCCAACAAGCTATGAACTGCAACTCTCATTAAAAAGGATAACAATCCTTATGAGTTTGGCGCATAAAAGTATAAAACCACTTGTCAAAACTGTCCATTTTCTCAAAATGCATCCAAAGACAAGCCCCTCAAAAGCTTTTTGCTCCTTGTATAATCTTATCACAGTGGTTATGCTGTAAGTTGCCAACACCATCTTATGAAACTGTCATGCGCTACTCCTAAAGACTCTCGATTATCCATGGGAAGGTTGCCTGGGCTACTGACAAACAACCCTCGATCTCTTTCTTGTCATTAAATAATTTTACTCAGAAATCAAACTGTACAATTCATGTCACTCTTGCACCAAATGCACATCTTATTTCAATTTAAACTCAAAATGCAAATACACACATATGTATCAGTGCACATCTTGCAACTTGTACCATAATTGTGAACTCAATCAAACTTAGGCTACAAAAATGATCCCTGTCCAGGTTTTTCCCTTACTAATCCTGGATAATCGAGAGTTTAGAGATACAACCTAAAAAACAAACATTCCGTAAGGGCTAGTGATATTCAGAAATTTACACATGGCTGTCACACTTCTAAACAAATTCATGTACCTCATAACAATTCTGTTCTAAACTTATTCTGCCAAGATAAACAGAACTTCAAAACTGCTACTTATGGTTTCACACCAAATATGCACTTTCAGCCACAAGAGTGTGGCACATGGTATACTACGAAGCATAATATCTTCAGGTCTGCTAGTTCTGGGTTCAATTGACCACATAACCAACACTAAATCACACAATAGACTGCTGGTTGACACAACAGTTATTCTCCTACTCACAGCAGAGGGGCTCTCCAGCCAAATTAGATACCTGAATATTTGCTTTCCAAAATATCTGTCAATGTAAAGTGCTACACATATATTTCCTTTTTGCAGCGCCCCAAAAAACAAGAAAAAAAACTGGGGAGGAAACTGGCTGTCGTGATTAAATTCAAAGGTAGGATATAAAAAGAATGCAATTGCAAATTTTTACAAACAATACAGTATAAAAACCCTACAAGAGTCCTCTTTCCCTGCCTCCATCAGTCACTGGAAAATAACCATACTTCAAAGCTTTTTCCTTTGTGAAGCTGGTTATTTAATAACACCATAAATATTAAGACTATATAGTGATGATAAGACGATTAATGGATGTGGAGTACATGACTAAATCAGAACTNACTCTTTCCACCAGAAATCCAACTAGGACTGAACCCTGGCTGATGCAGTGAGAAGCCCATGAAGCATGCTTCAAATTGGTAACAGCAGCAGATGACATTTGACACTTTCTTCATTGCCATCTAGTGTGCCATATGTAACATTAAGCTGCAGGTGCATCTTGCATGGGCTGAAAAACAGCTCTTTCAATTGAACTTAAAATCTTCTATGCCGACCGAATACAGGAATACTTACAAAATGAAAGACTTCCTGAATAAGGGTTCAGTCCAGCTAAAGCAGCGGAGGCGGAAAGAGAGATGACAGCTGTCCAGCCATGGCAATTTTTTTTTTTAAGTTTTTACAGCAGCTACAAGTGCATATCTTCTTGAGTGACCCAGCAAAGTCAAGTCAGGGTCAATATCTTCTGAAGAACCTATGTCTCAAGCATTAGAAGATGACATCATTTCCCAATGACAAATGTTGGACTTTACTACAGAATAACAAGTCTGGTTATCCAGGAAATTTTATCACAAATGTTCCATTTTCGGTATTAAAGGCAACAATATTATTTCTCTTATAACACTGATACAATCTGAAGTAAATAGTATATTTGAGGTTTCTCACTTAATCTAAATAGCCAACAGCAAGAATAACATGACCCTAAAAATATGTTCACACATTTGCCTGTGGTTACCTGACTTTCCACACATAAATTCACAATAAATCATATGTGCAGTTTTCTAAGGACGTGAGATGAGGAACCACATCTTGAAACAAAGAATAAGACTACATTTTTGGGCATTTTTTTTTCTTCAGGAAGATCAGCGCAAATGAAGACGAGACAAAATTTTGAAAATGTTTTGAGGAAGAACATATAACAAAAATACATTTTTCCTTAAGCTTCCTACTTTCTATATCAGGTACATTTTCTATACCTTCAAACATAAAATCCCGTTTCTTTAGAAAAAAATAAGTTCTGTTGTCATTCGTAAGCACAAAACTGTCTACTTGAAACAAGTAATCACTCAAGTGAAACTGTAAGGTGAAGACTCCAAAACCAGTAACATACACATGCAAGTTTAACTACAAAGACAGCTGAAGTGATGCTCATAAATTATACTTGTGTGGAATACTGGAAGATAAACAGTGGAGAAAGTCTACCCTTAGAAATGCTGTCATTGTTCAAGGCGTAGAAAACATATTGCCTGTATCTGCAACTAACTACAGCTTACATACTTAGCGTCATCCTAGTTTCCTCAGGAGGGTTCCCCAGTTTCTGACACAAGACACAACTCACAGCTTTAAAGCTCAAGAAGTGGTATGAAAAATGTTACTGCACTGCGGTCAACTTTATACACTTCTGAAATGTATTCATGGCTTTCTTAGGCACCTAAGATGCACTTTTGCAAAACAGCAAAACCACTTAAAGAGCTGCTATAGTTCAAGGATACTGTTTGATTTTGGGTTCTCAGAACAGTGACCCTGAACAGTACTGCTGCATGAGAATCTTGTATCTTCAGACTTGTGGGATGAGGAAGGAAGGTGGGGGAGGATGGGACAAAACAAGTGGGAGAGGCCATTTACTATCTTGTGTAGTACCTTACAATCAGTGCAGAGTATACTGCCACTGGCATATTGTGCTTGCACAGCTAGTGCAAAGTAGTGAATGGGTGAAATGTTTTTTGTACATACTGATTCGTGCTGCGTGCAGCACCTGTAATGCTTCGGGCTTACTGAATTCCTTGCAAGTCTCAAAATCTGGGTCTCCTACAGTATATTCTTGAATGTAATGCCATGCAGTCTGATAGATGTTCAAAAACATTTCAAAGAATATATTGCATTTGCTTTCAATAAGAAATATTATGCATTTTTCTTTCATATGAAGCAGAATCCCTACTGTGAAATTGAAACAGAATATTCCAGTAAGCCAAGTTTAATGAACCACAAATAGAACATGATTCTCTGCCATTTTGTTTACATGTCTTCTAGTGTGATTATAATCTGGTGCCCATTATACGCCCTAAGGTGTGCGTGAGTGGGGTGTAAACTCCTTCCAGCTTAAAAGGTAATTTGGGCCTCCACAAAAGCCTTCATTCCCCAAAACAAGAAAGCTGAGACTTTTACATGGAACTGCAAATGGGCCACAATCAAAGGAAAGTAAAAAATGCATTACATATTCAATAAATGGATATTAAAATCAATTAAAAAAATCGAAGGGGCCATCATTTTGGTTCAAAGATTCATGCAATAAAACTCAAAGACATAAGAAATGAAGTTTTAAAAATAACATATGCCAGAAAGTTAAACTGACTTCATAAGAAACACAGCATTCTTCATCATCCTTCAGATATTCAATAAGAAAACAGAACAGAAAGAAGTTCTCCACAGAATGTACAAACTGATGCTGCATCTCCACAAGTCAAGCTAGTGTGAAGTCATGNCACGGTGTGGTCGCTTGCAGATTTCTTATACTTTTTCTTCTACCCTGAAGATGGGGGCGATACGTTCCTCCGAAACGTCGGTTAACACCACATATACACGGTGCCAAATCCCAGAAGACTGCTTTCTTCATAGTCACCGCCATGAAAGCCTCAAATCTTACAACTATATGAATGGTTCCATAGGTCAGTATTCATCCTGAGTATGATCTGATTTGTCTTGCATGCAGATGAAACGTAGAGGCATGAATATCACTATCCAGAGCTTTTTCCTTGTTGCTGAGCAGGATCATATCCAGGTACCCCGCAATGAAAACAATTTTTGTGCCTGATGAAGATGGGCCACTTGATAAAAAATCTCACCCACTACAGATGATCTGTGTGTGCCCATGGAAATTGATGGAACCAGTTAGAAAAGATTACACTGGACAGGCTGACATACATCCAATGAAGCTCTTACATTATTTACTGATGGAACCATGCACAAAAAATTTAGTGTAGAAGGGAGCAAAATTCACTGTTACTCAGACTTGTAATATCTCTCTAGTTCCACTACAGCTTCCTGCAGACTGTCTACAGCAAGTTTAACTTGTGGCAGAATCAAAGACGTTCCTCAGTCCAACGTTGCAGGTAAATCAAATTGTTATACAAAGGCTATACAAGAAGTAACCTCTTGTGAACTGTTAACAAAACAATGAATGAGAAAAAAATTATTATTATTATTATAAAAAATACATACACTTAAGCTACTTCTCAACATAGTCACTGCTGGAACTGAGGCACTTATTTCACGGAATATGTTCTTGCATGCCTGTGTCAAAGAAGTGTGCCGCCTGTGAGCTCAGCCACATTTTGACACCTTCCATCAACTCCTAATTATTGTTGCAGCTGTGATCCCAACCAGTTCTTCAGGCAGGTAAAAGGGTGGTAGTCCCCTCAAAGCAAGATGAGGGTTGTTAAGAAGGGTGGTCAAACAACTCCCATTTCAAATGCAATGGAAGTGCATGAGTGCAAGCAGCTGTATGCAGACATGCATTTTCATGGAGGAGCACTACATGTCAGCATTCCTCACCTTTTGTTCTGAATGGCCCTACACAGTTCTTTTAGTGTTATGCAATACACTTCTCACAACACTGTGGTATTATGTCGCATGAATTCCACCATAAGCACCCCTTTCCTGTGTCAAAAAACAGTTGTCAT